TTCCTTGATGCTGAGAGTAGGCCCAGACTGAGTTAACTAGATTCCTCCATAGCAATGATGACTTCCAGTCTTTCCTTGAGCTGGCCTGCCTCTAGGGTCACCCTGAGGCTTGTAGGGTACTTGAAACAGTACCTGTTAAGTCCCTGCTCCTGTCATTTAGACAGATCCCCTGACTGTTTCCCTGGAAAAGGGCTTTGGGGTCCCACAGCTGGTTTTTCCTGTCTGCATGAGGGGTAGACCCTAATACAGAGAGGAAATACTTATCTGGATTTATGCAAACCAACGTAGTGCCATGAAGCATCAAAAACATCTGAAGGTACAAAAGAAGAGAAAAGCAAGCTTACAGCAAGCTGTAATACACCCCTTTGCTGTGGGTCTTAGTCAAAAGAAGCTTAAATCTGTAGCGATAAAGGATACAATTTAGCAGCATTTTTAAACCTCGACTTCCCATTTAACATCATGTTTAAACCTTGACTTCCCATTTTCTAAGAGCACTGTACCAGGAGTCTGGACAATCTGTCCAATATCTTTTCCATAAGAGCTTACCAAAAAGGCACTACAACAATTCTGCAAGTGTAATTTAAAGTTTCTTATAACAATACAGTTTGATCAGTTCCTTTTCTTAAAACACAACCTCAAACCCTCTGCACATTCCTTAACATTCATTCTGTCCTGTAACTTTCCTTCATCTTGTTTCAAAACCATCTTCACTTTAACAGGATCCCTTTCCTTTTTCCCACTGACGATATCTCCATCCATATCTTTCTGACTTATGACATACATCTATAGTAGTACAATGTACAATGTGATGTCCCAAATTTAGACACAAGTTACTAACCATCTCACTTAACATGACAAAACTGTACTCTGCAGTGCTATTTCAAAAGCATTTGATCGGTTCTATAGATATTCAAAAAGCCTTAAAAATGCTCACAATTAAAGTTCTTACAAGGTATATTCACTGGGCAAAAGATCACTTTACATTCGAAATTAAACAGGAGACATCTTAAAATTCTGATTTCCAGGAAAACACAAATACAAAAAGATTAAAACACTCATAGATTATCATGAAACAGAAAGCATTTCACACTTAGGTACAAAGTTCTCAGGTCAGGACTAGGTTGATACCTGGAGACAAAGCTTGGCGTGAAATAAAATTATCAAAACAATAGCATGCACTTTTAAGCACTAGACAAGCTGATTAACAACATAGTAAAATTTCCCACATTTTCCGTGCAATTCTCCACTCTTATACTCTAACCAAGGTGCAATGCTATGGCTTCAAATTGTCAGGCTGACATCTGAGACTAATTCAATACAACTTATTGCTAAGTACCTCTAGAAGTTTCAGTTACCAAGAGTCTCAGAGATCAGATAGAGCACTGGTAAGACAAATTTTGCAACCAATTTCATAACTTTAGAAACTCACGTTTAAACTAAACCATTACTTTTTGAACCTGTTTTCATGTGTCATAGTTATTTTAACTCACAAGATTTTCTTGGTCAAATATTCTAATAATCCAATGCAGATACAAATATGCTCATTGCCATAACAACGTAATACTTATGAACAATCGATTTTTATAAAACATGATAAAAACTTCTTTGGCTTAATTTCAATAGTTCTTGTACCTTAGTTATTTAATATCATGAGCATTCTACACCAGATACTTTTAACAATTCCACAAGAATACAAACATGCTTTCAGACACAGAAAAAGCCCTTTGGTTTTTACCAAACTTTGATATTATAGAAAATAACACTTGGACTGTCTAAATATTAAAATATCTTAATATCTAAAACTACCTAGTTGGAAGCTCCTCAGATGTTTTCCTAATTGCAAGCAATAATCTATGAAAAAGGATGGTTCCTTGGCAAAACTTTTCTCCAGGTCTATCACTTTGGCCTCTCCTTAGGGGACTCTGACCTCCCTTAAATTGGCCTTAATTCAGAGGCTCATCTCCACCTGGGTGGGCCTGGCATTGGGCAGACCCACAGCTGTGTGCCCGAGCCGAACTTAGTGCCGTGGTCTTAAAAACTCTGCTCCTTAAAAAAACAGTTCTGCCTTTCTTAGCTTTCTGCTTTTCCCACTTTTTGCTGGCTTGCGGCTTTTCTCAGGCCCCTTACAGGCCTTTACATCTGAACTGCCTTCATTAGCATTTCAATTAACCTCTAGCTGATCTTCTGGTTAGACTGAGACTAGGTTGGGGAAAAGGATTTTCTGCCTGGAAATTGATCTGCCTTAGTTTCCCAGAGTCTTCTCACTAGTGGGCTTTCCTCCCGTCCCTCCCATAGTGGACTGTGACGCAAAACAGACAAAGGAGGGGTGCCTCTTTGCAGAGACCATTCAGATGCTTGCCTGGCCGGTGGAGAACTTAGCCTTAGTGGTTCAGCATTGTGACTTGCGACCGGCAGCTATACCAGTGCCACCCTTGACCTTATGTTCTCCGTGAAGTCGCAGGCAGCCCACTCGAGCTCCGTGACTTTAGAGGGACTTTAAGAGTGCCAGATTGTGGAGCTACAAAATCACGCCCGATAGGAGGACCTATCAGGGTGCTCATACACACACGCATTCACACAGAGGTTATCACATTCCTCCCCCAGTCCCCCTAGAGATTTCCAAGGGAGCATACCTTCACAGCAGATCTTCCACAGATTGCCTCCTTTATCCGAGCCACAAGGTTTGGAGAGAAGGAACCTTGTGGGGGCCAATTCACACCAAAGGGAGGCCATTCTGATGAACAATAAGTGTCAAACTTACCTTTCTTGATCATCAAGCCCAGATTCTGAGCTTTCCTGTGGATCTCAGAGAAGTGATCAAGAATTAAAGCTTTGGGGGTCGATTGATTCTGACCCGTATTAAACAATCTGAATAAACAGAATTAAGAGAAAGATAATAAGACAAATACACACACTAAGGACACACGCACAGATCACACTCCTGCACTCGCTCGGACCGGTCCCTTTCTCACACGGGTGTGCACCACACTCACACTGGGATTCCCGAATATGCCCAAAGGGCGTGCACGTGATTTTCACCTCCGGATGGTTTAGTTCTTCCAAGTCTTCTCCCGGCGCCAAGATAGCAAGCGAGGAGCCAAGGAAACCTTATGTCCCTCAAGTCCTCCCAAGCAGATGAGGCCTCCAAACAAATGAGGACCCAGAAAAGTCCTCCCAATCAGGGTTGGCCACTTCCCTGCCGCGGTCCAGAAGGGACAGATGGAATATTTCCCAGAATGTAAGGCCTTTTCAAAACCCGATCTCTGGGCCTCTTTATCGTCAGGAGATCTCGCTGGGGCCTCCAAATGTTAGGACGCAGATCGTGATATCCCTTTAATGACAAAGAGACTCCAGAGACTGCAAACAGCAAGCAAGGTTTATTGTGAGACTGGCTAGCCAGGGTCGAGCCGCCTACACAGACACGCAGGTCCGATAGGTTAGGCAAGACCCCGAACTTCTTCAAAGGGGATCTTACATAGGTCTTCACTAGCCGTTACAGCAAAGCCCGTGCATTTCATAGCCAGTAGATTTGTAACAACATATACTTTCTTGGCCAATCCATATGAAAGTACATCACTCCTTAGCCTATAGATTCAAAGACCAGCATTTACGTACATAGGCATTGTGGCTAGTGGGCATCTGGTAACTCGGACATTTGGTTATCACCTGGCTCCCTTTGATTTGGTGGAAGCAGATTGAGGGAAAAGTTCCTAACAGAGGTAACAGATAAGGAAGGGCCAACAAGTGGTTTCCGAATTTACATCCCAATAAGGAAGGGCTTCACAGCTAAGGCTCTACTAGGGAGGGGGCAGGAAAGGGAGAGTTACTAATTAGTAGAGTTTTAACTCTGGAATCTCCCTCGGGGTCCCAAGGGACCTTACACGGAGACTATAAAACCAAGCTCCTGGAAGAGTGTGGCTGGATTTGAGGGCTGTGCAACCTCTTATTCTCTACTTCTCACTCTTAGAGAACCCGGCAGGCTACTGAGAATATTACGCCTGCCTATATGCCTGATTAGGAACACCTGTAAAGGTGGTTAGAGGCTGCCCCAAAAGCCTCCCCATCTGTCTTGGAGAGCCCGGCAAGCTACCGAGAGTATCCCGCCCGCACGGCAGAGCCTGACAAGCTACCCATGGAGTACTCGATATGTCAAATACAGTAACAATGAATGATTCTCATTCCCCTGACCCCGAAGGAGACCCCAATACGTCATCGGGCTACACTTGCACTTGACAGGGATGTTGGAGACGTTACTGGGCCTGCTCAAGCAAATTGAAGAACAACGGGGTGATGGTGATGGTGATGGTTCAGGAGTTCCTCATAACAGGCGATACAAAATATATTATTTCGATTGTGTTTTGGGATTGGGCTTGGGACTTGGGATGGAAACATCCCGAATTTGATGGTGGGAAGGTGTAATGTGGTGGAATGGGTGTTTGAATATTAAATGAAACCAAATATTGTGAACTAACTTATAAAATTAAAAATTTAATAAAAACAAAAAGACTTTGTCATCACCAAGAGGAAAATGAATCTGGGGACACAGACGGGGCCAGGGAGACTGGACTTTGAGGCTTCTGTCCCCAGAATTGACCCCAAAATGCCTGCCCTGGCCCCAAATCTCCTCTCCCCGAGCTGTGTCAGGAATTTCTCTATTTAAACTCTTCTGAGACGGAAGTATGGTGCCCGCTTGTTGTTCTTCATTCTGGGGGGCGGGGGGGAAATCAAGGAGTGGTTGAGGTAAGTCCAGGGCTATAAAAAGCCAGAGTCCAGCAGTGCAGGGGAGGAAAAGAGCCAGGAGGAAGGTGCCAGGTAAGATGGAAGGGATGTTTAACCCCCATGCCCCAGGAGGAAGAGATGAGGCTGGAGGGGACGGCAGAGGTCAGCTGGGCGACCCCGGGCTGCTGCCAGCTTGCTCCGTGGGAAGCAGAGGCTCAGCCTGTGACACAGTCAACGGAACCTGAATGCCCCTTTCAGAGCTGGCGTTTAGGGGCCTGGCCATGACTGAGAACGCCGGAATGTTCCGAACCAAGAGCAGGTGCTCAGGTATGGGGTAGCTCAGCCACCTGGGGGAGGGGGGCCGGGGAGGCATGTCCAACGAGAGCTTCAGCCTTGGCCCTGGTCACTCCCGCAGGGATCCTGTCCTGGGTATGTCTCATTTCCGTGCTACTTTTCGTCTCCCTGGGCTTACTCCTGCTCCAGTCCATCATCCTGGTTCAAGGTGAGTTCAAGGGCCTGAGCTTTGGTGGGATGGAGCCCTGTAGGTTGGTGTTTTTTTGTTTTGCTTTTTGGACCATACCCAGAGATGCTCAGGGGTTATTCCTGGCTCATGCACTCAGGAATTACTCCTGGTGGTGCTCGGGGAACCCTATGGGATGCAAGACAAACGCCCTACCCGCTGTGCTATTACTCTGGCCATTTAGGTTGGTTCTCTGTCACTCTCTGTGTTTCTCTCTCTCTGTCTCTCTCTGTCCCTCTGTCTCTCACTGTCTCTCTCTTTATTTCTCTCTCTCTCTCTTTCTCTCTCTCTCCCTCTCTGGCATATTCTCCAGAATGCCCCCAAACAAGTAGGTCTTGGGCTCCATGTCCGTGCCCTGTGACCTGAATCCTTCTACCCACCCTCTCTGAGTCCATTTCCCTCTCTGTGGAGTGCAGCTCTGGCCCCCTGGGTGGGAGCTGGAGCCCCCTGGATGTGACACAGAGCCACGCACAATTTGGGCATCACTCAAAGGGGCTTCTCTGCTCTGTGGTAGTCTCCTGGATCCACGACTTCCTGCAGAGCCAGCCTGGGAAGCTTCAAGAGAATCAGACCCTGGACGAGGCAACATGCATTAAGGAAGGTTCAAGTCTGTGGAGTGTGGGGAGATGGAGTCTGGCAAGACAACCAGCTAAGGCGAGGGAGGGAGGGAGAGTTTGTTGGAGGGTGCTGGATCCCTAGTGAGCTTACTGGGCTGAGCTGCTCCTTGAGCCTCACTCTTCCCATCTGTGTAATGGGCACCCACCCGGCATGGCCTCTCCGCACATGGTCGGTGCTTGATTGCTGGGTACTTCTCTGCAGTTGAAGCTCCTCAGAAGCAGATCCAGGGGGACCAGAAGGTGATCAACCAGTGGCTTGCCAGGATGAATGTCACCATGGGTATGTCGGGGTGAGGCCCCACATCAGCAGAGGCATGCAGGGGCTGGAGAGGCGGGCAGGGGGTGTTTCTAGGCTGCAGGCCTGATGAGGTCGGGTGTCCTGGGTTTCATGAGAACCACATGCTCTGAGCTGACACGGCACACGGGGACACTCCCTGGGAGCTAACCCTGCCTTCTCCCCCAGAGACGCTCTGCTGTCATTGCCCCCAGGACTGGGAGTTCTTCCAGGGAAGCTGCTACTTGTTCTCCAAGTCCCAGAGCAATTGGAAGACTTCAGAGTCTGCCTGTCAGAGCATGAACTCCCACCTGGTCATCGTCAACAGCGCCTCCGAGGAGGTGTGTCCCCTTGCCTGGTCTCAACACCCTCTCTGCCACCCTTCTGGGAGGTTGAGCCTAATAGGCGTAGGATGGACCATGGGTGCAGTCAGGGAAGGCTTCCTGGAGGAGCAGAAGGAAGGTCCTGCGAGAAGTCACGTATGAGAACCGCTCCGGTGAGGGGAGATGGGGCCTCTCTCCACCCCCCACCCCATCCGGGGAAGGAGACTCAACACTGCACACACAGCTGCTCTGGTGCCCTGGGGTTGGGCTGGGCCCAGACTGTAGATGGACTTTCCTGGGTGCAGGGATGCGGGAGTGCGGACAGGGGTGCTCAGGACCTTCCCCCTAATGCCCCCCATCCTCCACCCACAGAAATTCCTCCAGGCTTGGGAGGTTCGGCATGGGCAAAGAACTTGGATCGGACTCAGCGACCTCCAGAATGAGGGTTCCTGGCAATGGGTCGACGGGACCCCCCTTGAACTCAGGTGACCCCTCCCAGACACTGCCTCGGGGCGGAGCATGGGGGGAATCCTCGACCCCAAGCAGAGCCCACAGTCGGCTTCAGGGCGCACTACGCCAGTCTTCGGGGGCCACGACAGAGAGGCCCGGGGAAGAGGCAGGCCCAGGAATCAGTCATTTATTCCTATGTCATCTGATTCTTTTTTTCTTTGGTTTAAGCCACATCCGGTGTTGGGTGACACTTAGTCCCAGCTCCGTGCTCAGGGATCACTCATGGAGGGATTCAGGGGACAAGATGGGATGCCAGGGATCAAACCCAAGTTTGCTGCGTGTGAGGCAAGAGCCTCTGTGCTATCTCTCCAGTCCCTACCAGAATAATAATTTATTTTGCATTTTGGGTCACACATGGCGATGTGCAGGGCTTACCTCTGGCTCTTCACTCAGGAATTACCCCTGGCGGTGCTCAGGGGACCATATGAGATGCTGGGAATTGAACCCAGGTCGGCCATGTGTAAGGCAAACGCCCTACCCGCTGTGTTATTGCTCCAGCCCCCAGAATAATAAACTTTACAATCTTTTTTGGGGGGCTGGAATGATGGGACAGCGGGGCAGGCATTTGCCCTGCATGTGGCCACCTGGGCTCAGTCCCCAGCACCACTGTGTCCTGAGCTCCACCAAGGGTGACCCCCTGAGCACAGAACCAGGAGTAAGCCAGGAGTAAGCACTGACATATGAGGCCCCGACACCAACTTATTCACAACTACAATCCTGGCTCAGAAATTCTCCCCTCCTGTTTGAAATGGGCTGCAAAGTGCCAGAGAGCAGCCCCTCAGGGACGGGGCAGGTGGGCTAGGATGGAGCTGAGGATGGGCCGTGGGGGGCTCATGGCATCACTGTTGTTCACAGCTTCTGGAAACCAGGAGAACCCAACAACGATGGCAATGAGGACTGTGTGGAATTGTGGAATGATGGCTGGAACGACGACAAGTGTGGTAAAGAGAAGATTTGGATATGTGAGAGGCCCGCAGTGTCCTGCTCCAATCTGTGATGACCATTGTCCCCCTCGGTCAGGCTGCTCTGGTGCTCTGTGATGCACTCCTGCGGCTTCTCCTCCTGGACCTTGGAGATCCCTAGGGATCCCGAGATCCCCTTGCTCATGCCCCCCCACCCCGCGTCAACTAGAGATTACCTCCTCCTCTCAGCCCCAGTGAACTTTCTTGAATAAAGTCATACACTGGATACTGTCGTTGTTGAATATGTTGTCTGCTTTCGCTGCTGTTTCAAGTGCTCTTGTTGATGATATTTGCTGTAGGTGGACATCCATCCACCTACCCACCCATCCATCCACTCATCCATCCATCCACCATCCTATAATCCATCAGCTCATCATCCATCCATCCATCCATCCACCCATCGATTAATCCACCCACCCATCCATCCATCCACCATCCTATAATCCATTAACTCATCCATCCATCCATCCATCCATCCATCCATCCATCCATCCATCCACAACATCCATCCACCCATCCATCCATCTTATAATCCATCAACCCATACATTCATCCAGTCATCCATATTCCCATTCGTTCACCCATCCACCCACCCACCCATAAATCCATCCATCCACCATCATATAATCCATCAACCCAACCACCTCTCCATCAATCCATTCATCCATCCACCATCTTATAATACATTAACCCATCCATCCAGTGTTCCATCCACCCATTCATCCATCAATCCATCCACCAGTCCATCCATCCATCCATCTACAATCCTATAATCCATCAACCCATCCACCCATCCATTCATGTTTTCATCCATCCATCCATCCACCCACCCATCCATCCATCCATCCACCATCTTATAATCCATCAACCCATCCATACATTTGTCAATCCATTCGTCCATCCATTCGTCCATCCATCCATCCATCCATCCATCCATCCATCCATCCATCCATCCATCCATCCCACCCATCCATCCACCCATCCATCCAACCATCCATCCATCCACTCATCCAACTCCATGCTCAGTGCAGTGCTTTTGCAGCCATTTCCAGTGGTACTCCATATGGTGCCCCAAGCCCTTCCAAGAGTGAACCCTGAGCACAGGACCAGGAGTAAACCCTTAGTACCAGCAGGTGTGGTCCAAATCCCAATAAAATGAAAGTGATAGAAACCTGGGTCTTCTGCATATGAATTCTTCTTATGAATATGAAATGCATAACCTTCAGGTTTTTGGTCATCACCGTAGGCTACAGTTATAAAGTTTTCCTGTGGGATTCAGTCATACAATGATCGAACACCCATCCCTCCACCAATGCACATTTGCCACCACCAATGTTCCCAGGATCCTCCACGCCCCTTGCCTCTATGGCAGACAATTTTCCCTATCCTCTCTCTAATATTGGGCATATGGTTTGCAATATAGATACTGAGAGACTATCACGTTTGGTCCTTTATCTACTTTCAGCACATATCTGCTATCTCGAATGATTTCTGCAACCATTGTTGACTCAGTGATCCCTTCTCTATCCCAGCTGCCTTCTCGTCCAGTTCATGAGCTCCAGTTTCTATGACTCATCTCTTTCTTTGGCCCTTTACTTCATTCCTTTTTTTTTTTTTTTTGCTCTTTGGGTCACACCCATCAATACTCAGGGGTTCCTCCTGGCTCTGCACTCAGGAATTGTTCCTAGCAGTACTCGGGAGACAATATGAGATGCTGGAATCGAACCGGGGTTGGCAGCTTGCAAGACAAACGCCTTTCTCGCTGTGCTATGCCTCCAATCCCCCTTTACTTCATTCTTAATATCATGCTTTTTCTTTTATTTTCACTATGCCTCTCTCTTGTGCCTTCTATTACATTTTCAATTGGATCTTTTTCTCTCAGGGATAACTCATAAAAATTTGCTTCCCTCTTGTTTCTTTCCTTGATAATGTCCCCCCCCCCCCCCAGTCAGCTAGAGATCACACCCTCTCTTGGGTGCCTCCTTTTCCTCTTAGCCCCAGTGGCATCGCCTGAATAAGGTCACACACTGGATACTGTCATTGTTGAATAAGGTGCCTGTTTTTGCTGCTGGATCAAGTGCTCTTGTTGATGACATTTGCTGTAGGTGGACAACCATCCACCTACCCACCCACCCATCCACCCATAGATTCATCCACCATCCTATAATCCATCAATCCATCTACACATCCGTCCATCCATCATCCATCCACCAGCCTATAATCCATCAACCCATCCATCCTTCAACCATCTTATAATACATCAACCCCTACATCCATCCATCCATCCACCGATCCATCCATCCACCCAACCATCCACCACACTATAATTCATCCATCCATCCATCCATCCATCCATCCATCCATCCATCCTCTCATCTGTCCACCCATCCACCATCCTATAATCCGTTACCCATCCATCCATCAATCAATCCACCCATCCATCAATCCATCCACCCCTCCCTTGGGTGCCTCCTCCTCCTCTCGGCCCATCCATCCAATTATCCATCCACCATTCATCCATCATCTTATAATCCATCAACACATCGAGCCAGCCAGTCACCCATCCATCCATCCATCCACCCACTCATCCGTCCATCCATCCATCCGTCCATCCATCCATCCATCCATCCATCCATCCATCCACTCATCCAATTCCATGCTCAGTGTTTTGTAGACATTTCCAGTGGTATGCCATATGGTGCCCCAAGCCCTGCCAAGAGTGAACCCAGAGCACAGGACCTGAGGTAAACCCTAGTACCAGCAGGTGTGGCCCAAATCCCAATAAAATAACAGTAAAAGAACCCTGGATCTTCTGCATATGAATTCTTCTTATGCATATGAAATGCATAAGCTTCAGGTTTTTTTTTTACATCACCGTGAGCTACAGTTATAAAGTTTTTATGTTTGAGTTTCAGTCATAAATGATCGAACACCCATCCCTCCACCAATGTATGTTTTTCACCACTATTGTTCCCAGGATCCCCCACGCCCCCCTGCCTCTAGGGCATACAATTTCCCCCATACTCTCTCTCTACTTTGGGGCATGTGGTTTGCAATATAGATACTGAGAGGCTATCACATTTGGTCCTTTATCTACTTTCAGCACACACATCTCCCATCTCGAATGATTTCTCAACCAACCATCATTGACTTAGTGATCCCTTCTCTATCCCAGCTGCCTTCTCGCCCAGCTCATGAGCTCCAGTTTCTATGACTCATCTCTTTCTTTGGCCCTTTACTTCATTCTTTTTCTTTTCCTTTTTGGGCCACACCCAGCGATGCTCAGGGCTTCCTCCTGGCTCTGCACTCAGGAATTACTCCTGGCAGTGTTCGGGGGACCATTTTGGATCCTGGGAATTGAACCCAGGTTGGCCGCGTGCAAGGCAAATGCCCTAGGCTCTGGGCTATCGCTCCAGCCCCGGAACTCTAAATTCTTTTGCTTGTTTTTTATTTTGAGGGCCACACCCACTAATGCTCTGTCTCTAGGGATCACTCCTGGCAGAGCTCGAGGGACCATATGGGATGCTGAGGATTGAACCCTGGTCAGCTGTGTGTAAGGCAAGCATCCTCCCACGTACTCCAGCCCCTAATGCAATTATCAAAAAAAACTTTAATGGGGATGAAGTGATAGTACAGTGGATTAAGGCAAATAATAGTACCGTGGATTAAGGCAATGAATCAGATAGGAAGTCGAAGGTCCATACATAAGAAAGGAATACTTTATACACATCATGTCAAAGTGACTTTGTAAAAAATATCTATCAGTAAATTCTAATGGAAAAGAGAAAAAAGCTTAATTTATTGAGTAAAACGGGTTTCGGGATCAACATACCTGGGTAAACTTCTGCTCTTGGGATCTGAATGATAGTACAGTGGGGAGGACACTTGGTTTGGTCCCCGGGTTCTCATTTAGCACCGCCAGGACTATTTCTTGTGTGCACAGCCAGGAGTAACCCCTGAGCATCACAAGGTGTGACCCCCAAACCAAAAACAGCACCCCCAAAAACAAACAAACAAACAAACAAACCGCCAAGAGGGGCTGGAGAGATAGCACAGTGGGTAGGGCATTTGCCTTGCACGCGGCCAACCTGGGTTCGATTCCCAGCATCCCATATGCTCCCCTGAGCACCGCCAGGAATAACTCCTGAGTGCAGAGCCAGGAGTAACCCCTGTGCATCGCCAGGTGTGACCCAAAAAGCAAATAAATAAATAAATAAATAAGTAAAATTAAAAAAACACACACAGCCAAGAAATTCCCATGTTTATGTACTGTGTGTTCTCAGGCACTAGCTTGGCCTCTCTGTTTTACAGCTTCCTATGAGCTGTAGTGGCAGCAGAGCACTTTCCCACTGACAGTTGTGAGAATTGTCAGAGACCTCTGGGGTCCTCCACGTGTGTGGGTCAAATCTGAATTTATTCCTTGGTGTGGCAGGACACAGCACTTCCCCGGAGGGGACAGGGAAGCCCTAACTTGTGAGTGTCTAGCGCTGAAATAAGGCAACGTGTGAGCCCACGCCAGGCATCTGAGTGCCTCAAACCTTGTCATCACGAGCATAACATGAGACCCCCATAACCTTTCCACCTGATTCCGCACCAGGCTGTTTCACTCGGGGCACCCCAGGGTGGCGGGGTGAGAGCCCTCCCCGCCCCTAGGGATCCAGCTCCGGCAGCCGACCTCCACTACCCACCGGCCACCATGCTCAAGGCTGCTCTCCACACACTCACACTGAGCCTCACATATGAGTGACGTATTCCTGGACTGCTCGGCCATTTCATAAGACACCCCCTACCCATTCTTCATAATTCACTGTCACTGTCACTGTCACCCCGTTGTTCATCAATTTGCTCGAGCAGGCCCAGTAACATTGTGAGACTTGTTACGGTGTTTGGCATATCGAATACGTCATGGGTAGTTTGCCAGGCTTTGCCGTGTGGGTGAGTTACCACACCATATATGATGAGTTTCGGATAGTTGGCAACAAATCATAGACGGAAAGGTGTATATATATCTATCTATATAGATATAAGTATATAT